AGGAACGCGCCCCAGAGGAGGACGGAGAGGGTGCCCCAGAGGACGCTCCAGGTTACCCATGCGCGGCCCCACTTTGGGTGCTCGAGCAAGAGCCAGGCGGCGGCCCAGTAGGTGATGGGCATGGACGCGGCAAGGCGGAGGACGATCTGGGTGTGGGACGCGAAGAGGAGGATTGCGCACATGGCGAGGGCGTAGATCGCGTGCGGAGCGATGGACGGGTCGAGAAAGGCGCGGTGCGGCGCTGCGGCGGTGCGGGACGTGAGCCAGTGGCGGAGGTGGTGGATGCTGAAGGCGGAGATGGCGAGCAGCGGCGGGGCGGCGATGAGAAAATTGGGGAGCTGCTGGAGGGTCCAGTAGCGGAGGAAGCCCTGGTTCCAGTAGCGTTCTTGGACGTAGTAATAAATCAGCGGGAGGGGGCGGGCGCACCACGCGGCGGGGGGCGCTGGGCCGGCGCAGAAGGCGAGGTAGGCGGCGTAGTTGTGGGCGACGAAGGGCGTGAGGGGCATCGCGGACAGCGCGACGCAGGCGAGGACGGCGCGGAGGGAGACCTGGGGGAGAGGACGGATCGGCGAGGAGGGGATGAATAGGGTGAGAGGAAACGCACCGGCCTGCGCTGGAGGAAGGGCTGGACGAGGAGGCCCCAGACGATGAAGCCGCTCAGGAGAAAGCCGTTTGAGCGGAAGGCGGCAGCGGCGGTGAAGGCGAGAGCGGCGGGAAAGTAGCGCTCAGTCGCGCAATAGAGCATGCCCTTGTAGGAGAAATAGGTGAAGAAGGGCTCGGTATACGGGGCGAGAAAGAGGGTGACGGGGCTGCTGGGGAGCAGGGCGAGGACGGCGGCGAGGCGGGCTTGCGCGGGGGAGGCGAGGTGGTGGAGGGAGAGGCGGTACAGGGTGGCCGACGCGTCGCAGGCGAGGGCGAGCGAGAGGACGGTGGGCACGAGCAGCGAGGCAGGAAAGAGGCCGAGGAGGAAGGGGAGGCCCGGGAGAAAGGCCCACTCGTGCTCGTAGACATAGCCGCTGCGGGCGATGTGGACAAAGTGCAGCGCGTCCCAGCGCAGCAGAATGTGGGACGTCGCCGCGTCAAACGGCGGCAGCAGCTGCGTGGCCAGCAGCAGACCCGCGACGACGAGACGCGAGATGAGAGTAGGGAGCAGGAGCTTGATGCATAGGGAGGTGGTACACTGCCGCAAGATGAGAGTAGGGAGCAGGAGCTTCATGCATGGGGGCAACAAGCTGCGCGGATTACGGCATGTCGACTGCTCTACCTGTAACGGCGTTGCTCGCGAGTCTTGCGCCCAGCATCCACCGCGTCCGACGCGCTGTGGAGATCCCTGCGTGGTCTGCCTCGTACGATGCCTTTCTGCTCATCGCCGTGTGGTGGGCCGCCGTGCTCGCCGCCGAGCCCACCCTCCGCTACTTTTTCCCGCTCGCCTGCCTCTCCACCCTCGCCCTCGCCTCCTGGTCTGCCCGCTCCCGCCCCGCGGCCCCACTCGCGTCCGAGCACACCCTCCAGGCCGCCGTCGCAGACCTCGCCGCTATCGATGCCCTCCTCCCGGCGTTCCCCGTCTTTTCCTCGAGCCTCGTGGCCCCAACGACCCTCTTGCGCGCATCCCTCGTGCTCTATGTGCCCTATCTCGTGCTGACCCACTTTGTGCGCCTCCGCGTGCTCGTCGCCATCGCCGGCACCGTCCTGCTCGCCTGGCGCGCCCCGTGGGCCCTCGCCCTCCGCCGCTCGCTCTGGCGCACCGCCTGGTTCCGCTGGGCCGTCTACCGCCTCGTCGCCGCCGCCACCGGCCAGCCCCTCCCCCAGTCCGCCCTCTCCGCCGCCGCCGCCGCCGCCCCCACCCCGACAAAGTCCCTCCGCTTCCTCTTCACCGTCTACGAGAACCAGCGCTGGTGGATGGGGCTCGACTGGACCGCCGCCCTCCTCCCCGCCGAGCGCCCGTCCTGGTGCTCAAAGACCCACAACCCCGTCGCCCCGCCCAACGCCTTTGTTCTCCCCGACGACACTACGCTGTACCTCCCCGCGTCCGACGGCAAGGGCCGCGTCAAGCGCTGCGCACGGTGGGCCTGGGAGGAGCACGAGTGGCGCGTCATCGTCCGCACCGACGCCGCCGCCGCCCTCACTCGCGTCGAGAAGCCCCTCCCCAGCGACAAGGACGAGAACCCGGGCCTCCTCCTCAAGGCCGCCGTCAAGATGCGCGAGTCGAGCACCCACCCGCCGCCCGCAGACGAGTCCGACGCTGACAAGGCGTCCGCCCACGCGGAGGAGGAGGAGGAGGAGCTCGTCACGGATGAGGACGGCTGGGTGTACGGCGACAACAAGTGGGAGAAGCCGAGCGCCAAGGGCGGGATGGGCAAGGTGCGTTTTGATGGGTCCGCCGCGGCTCTGCGCTGAACCTGCCCCAGTACACGCGCTTCCGCCGATGGACACGCGTCGCTGTCGTCACAGAGACCGTCGAGTCGGTGCCAGAAGGCGAGGTCGAGAGCCCGCCGCCCCCAGTGCGCACGGCCAGCCCCATCTCGTCCACGCCCTCGGCGAGTCCGGCGGAGGACAAGCCGCCCCGCGACGGCAGCCCGCTCAGACAGCGACTCAAAAGCGCAATACACAAAGCGACAATGTAGTACCATGTACACTTGTAATAAATAAGTACACTCATTCAAGAACGTCGTCTTCGAAGATGGCCGTCAGAGGGACGCCGTCCTCCCGGATGACCCCGCGGTACATGCCGGGGCAGTTCAAGGGCATCGCAACTGTGCTCAATTAGTCGTCTGTCGCTCAACGGGGTGTGTGTGGGCGCACCATTTCCCGCGTTGTCGAGCGCAATCACGCCGCCAATGCCGCCGTTCTGGCGGAGCTCCTCGACCGCATACTCGGTCGCCTGCTGCAACGACTCGCCGAGGTACCTGACGCGACGCGCAATGGTGACGCCCGTCGCGCACCGGATAAAGTACTAGAGCAAAAGAAGATTAGGAAACGCACAATCCAGTAGACCAGACATGCGTACGTCGCCGTCGCCCGTGCCCGAGACGCCCAACGCGTGCTGCGCGGGGAGGCCCCAGATCTTGCCCCACGCCTTTTGCACCCACCCGGCCGCGGCCGGCCACTCCGCCCAGAAGCCCGAACCCATGTGCGGCGTGTCGCCGATGCGTCCGACGAGCTTGTTCGTGCGCCCGCCCGTCGACGTGAGCGCAGCGATGCAGCCGCGCACGTCGAGCGCGACCGCGCCGACCGTGCCCGTGGGCTGCAGGTCGAGCAGCGGGAGCCCCGCCTTTTCGTCGGAGTCGGGGTCCGGGTACGGGAAGGGCCCGTCGGGGAGGCCGAGCCCGCGGCGGTGCTCGACCCAGCGCTTTTGCGTGTAAAAGTACGACTCGTCGACGAGCGTCTCGCCGAGCGACTCTGCGAGGGTCTCTGCCGTGGCGCCCGAGATGAATACGTGCGGGAGGTCCGGCGCGAGGTAGAGCGCGCGCGCGAGTGCGCTCGGGTTGCGAACGTGCGAGAGGAGCGTCATGCCGACGCCGCGGCGCGAGGCCGGGATTTCAGGGTGCGACGCCGGCGGCTTGGACAGCATCAGAGAGGCCTCCAGTTCGTTCTGCGTGCATCGAGTTTAACTTTATGCGCGGGCTGAAATTGCAGCTGCACCGACCTTTCCACCCGTGTTGAACACGGCGCCCTTGCCTAGCAGACGTCAAGGCAGAACGCGACGATTGCATCTGCTTACCGGCGTTGAAGAGGGGGCAGTCTACGGTGCGCCGTGAGCGCGAAAGGACCGGACAGCGAATGCAACACGCACCCTCCATCATAGACACTGCAGCCGTGACCGCGTCCATGGCCTCGCCTGCGGGAATCCATGTTGTGAGAATGGGGAGGGGGGGCACACGGGGCGAGTCCTACCGCCCTCGCTGAGGACCTTGTAGCCCGCTTCCAGTGCAGCGCGTACTCCCGCCCTGTACGCCGCGCGCTGCTCGGGCGTGGACCCCGCGCGAGACATGGTCCCGGCGCCACCGTGACAGACGAGGACGTAGTTGCCCTTTGCAGGGGCGCTCGCGGTGCGCGTCGACTTTTCGGCCATGGAGGTGCAAGCTTATCACCCGGGTAATAAATACAGTCGCAGGGTGCTCGCCGCGGCGAAGCGGACCGGTCAAATTTAGGCTCGAGGCTTCAACTTCAAATAGGCTGCGTGAAGCTCAAGATTTTGGGGGACGAGATTTGGCCCTCCAGTTGTTTACTCGCACCTGGAGACCACGAAGACGTGATGGTAGCAAGAGAGCGCTGACTTTGTACAATGTTACTGTAAACTGTAGGTTCGGAACAAGCCGCCTTCTCACATGACATGCACGTGCTTCGCAGCGCATTCTGAGAAGGGGCTTGTGTGGCCAAGATGTAAAAAAAGGGCAATGTGTTCTGCGCGCTCTACCGTCTCTAATACAGGATCGAACCCTTAGGTCTAATGTCTCTCGTGGACTTCATTGCTCTCCATGGCCACTGAAAAGGATTCTGTCACACATGTCACATTTTGTGTCACACCTCACCAAAGACCAAAATTCTATTTCTTGCATGAAGAAGGCCGTTCTCAGCATATATTTTGCTGGAAGACCTGTTGTAAATTGTCTAAGGAATACATCGAGCCCATAAAATCCATGGATTTGTCAAATGATATTCCTTGTTTGGCTTGAATCCAAAATGCAACTTCGGGGTTAAAGATCAAGTGTGCTACAAGAACAAGGTAATATTTGCTCCCTCTCAGCACCTAGCTATGTGGAGGGGTATCTAATGAACAATTTATCAGCAGAAAACATGGCAATCTGAGTTGAAATGACTGAGAAAATGTCTCTTGAACACATGGTCCTTTTTTGGCAGTTTGTAACAAGCCTCTCTCCGAGATTCACCGGCTTGCCGGTGCGGAGACAGGCTTGCTCCGAACCTATGTAAACTGATGACAATGTTTTCAGTTACAGGGCCCCGAGACTTGCGGCCAAAAAGATATCCACGCAAAAATGCGACACCTGTGCGATTCGAACACACGCGGGGAAACCCCAACCGCTTCACTCTTATGAATTACCATAATTAGCAGGCGATCGCCTTGACCACTCGGCCAAAGTGTCATTTCTTGAAGTTTTACTCACTAGCATGATGTACGTTTTCGAAGAGCGAGAGACAGTGAGTTGAATGAGCACACAAACATCCAAATTGAATAAGAATTGAGTGAGATAGAGCCAAAATAGTATGTGTCAAGTTCCACTTGCTAGCAGCATGTACTTTTGGAAGAGCGAGAGACAGCGAGTTGATGAGCCCACAAACATCAGAATTGAATAATATTTGAGTGAGATAGAGCCAAAACAGTTTTGTGTGGAGGTTCACTCATTCACATCATGTACGTTGGGAAGAGCGAGAGTCTGCAAGTTGAATGGGCACACAAACATTGAAATTGAATGAGAATTGAGCAAAACAGTATATTATCATCCACAATACAATCATCACCTTGTTTGGAAGGGTATTATATCCTGAGTCGAAGTCAGAATGATCCAGGGGTTGGAAGTCGGCAGAAGGTTCGGAAGACCAGAATAATTCGGATCAATAGCAACGCCACAGGAAATGTAAGGGTGTGCATACTACCTGGACTGGCGAGAAGTTGAGGGGTTCTGAAGAGTTTGGAGTTGGAAGTTGGAATCAGAATTCAGAGTGAACTCAGAAGCAAGACAAGTAGCCAAGAATGTTAGTAATCAAACTGAAGTACTTCACATGAATGCAGAATATTTATATTAAGTCTTTATTATGTACAGCTGTAGGAGTCCATTTCCAAATTAAGGAATCAGGAACGGTTGAAGCAAGCAGGGCAGCAAAGGCTGCCTATGAGTAAAATGAGATAAATGGGAAGTGCTCAGTAATCCTTCATTGTGTAAAAACCTGGTTGCGCACTTTTCCAGAAACCTGAAGACCTGGAAGAGTCCAGAAGTCTCAGAAAGCATACAGATATAACAAAGGATGAGTCCAGGAACATCAAAATTGAATAAAAATTGAGCAAGAAAGAGCCAAAACAGTATGTGCAAAGCTTCACTCACTCACACCATGTATGTTGGGAAGAGCGAGAGTCTGCGAGTTGAATGAGCCCTCAAACATCGAGATTGAAGAAGAATTGAGTGAGAAAGAGCCAAAACAGTTTTTGAATGAAGTTCTACTTGCCTGCACTGTGACATTAGGAAGTGCAAGAGTCTACAATTTGAATGAGCCCAAGAACATTGAAATTAAATAAGACTCAGAATTGAGTGAGATACAGGGATAATAATTAGCCCTCTAGGCAGCCCTGGTTCCTCAGATGCTGTGTCAGCACAGGGCTCAGCGGGTTTATGGACTCAACTGAGGCAACTGAATGACAAAGTGGATTATCAAGATAACAGTGACTCTACTTGCTTGCATCATGTACATTTGGAAGAGTGAGAGTCTACAAGTTGAATGAGCCCACAAACATCAGAATTGAATAATATTTGAGCGAGATAGAGTCAAAACAGTTTTGTGTGAAATTCCACTCGCTAGCATCATGTATGTTTGGAAGAGCGAGAGTCTGTGAGTGGAATGTGCCCTCAAACACCCAAAATGAATAATATTTGAGTGAGAAAGAGCCAAAACAGTTTTTGAATGAAGTCCCTACTTGTTTGCATTGTGTACACTAGGAAGGGCAAGTTAAATGAACCCAAAAACATCAAAAATGAATAAGATTTAAGTGAGAAAGAGCCAAAACAGTATGTGTCAAGTTTCACTCGCTCACATAATGTATGTATGGAAGAGTGAGAGACAGCAAGTTGAATGAGCCCATATACATCAGAATTAAATAAGAATTGAGTGAGATAGAGCCAAAACAATTTTGTGTGAAGTTCTACTTGCTAGCACCATGTACGCATAGAAGAGCGAGAGACAGCAAGTTGAATGAGCCCTCAAACATTGAGATTGAATCAGAATTGAGCGATATAGAGCCAAAACAACTGTTTCACCATCATGCTGTTATGCACTTGAATCCTGTGTCTGGAAGGGCAAGAGTCCACAAGTTGAATGAGCCCAACAACATCAAAATTAAATAAGAATTAAGTGAGATACATGTATGAAGCTCTACTTGCTAGCATCATGTATGTTTTGGAAGAGCAAGAGACAGTGAGTTGAATGAGCCCGTAAACATTGAAATTGAATAAGAATTGAGTGAAATACAGGGAAAACAGTTATTTGACCTTGCATGAAGTTCTACTTGCTTGCATCATGTACATTTGGAAGAGTCAGAGACAGCGAGTTGAATAAGTCCCCAAACATCAAAAATGAATAAGAATTGAGTATAAATCATACTGTTACCCACTGCACTACTGCGTGAAATGGGATGGGCTTCAGGCAGGCAGCTTCATTCAGCCTCTATTAGGGGAGTTTACTGGGTGGAGACAATTTGGAGTGGAAGCTCAGTTGGTGCATGTCTCATTGGTTCGGATGGGTGTGGACTCCTCATGGAGTGCACAATAATAATGTCAGAACGGCAAGCGAGTGCAAGACACAGCATCATGGAAGGGTAAGAGTCAGTGAGTGGAATGAGCCCAAGATCATCAAAATTGAAGAAGATTTGACAAGATAGAGCCAAAACAACATGGGCGAAGTTTTACTCGCTTGCATTGTGTACATTAGGAAGTGCAAGAGTCTATGAGTGGAATGAGCCCAAGAACATTGAAATTGAATAAGAATTGAGTCACAGTGATATGTAGAGCCAAAGTGAATGATTATGTCAGCACAGCTCTTGCTTGCTTGTGAGTCAGTTGTGACAGAACTGAGATGCCGACAGACAATGTACTAGTGGTGGGTGGCTCCCACAGTATGAGGATGGAGAACCCTTGTCAAGTAAGGGAACAGTTATTTCACCGTCCACAATACATTCATAGTGTTACTGTTTCCCCTGTATCTCATTCAATTCTTATTCAATTCTGATGTTCCTAGGCTCATCCAGCTCACTGAATCACACCCTTCCAGCCACACACCATATGGACAATTAAATCCAAGTCCAAGTGAATAGTATGTATCTGGCTGTATCGGACAGCGAGCACAACTGTCTCGGTCTCCCCTTAACTTTGCCCCTATGGAAACCACCACCGATCGAGGAGCTTGATTCTATCCGCGCTCCCGATTTGATCAACCACAAGAGTACTCCCTGCACATTATAAACATCTGCATCTGCCCTGGACACTGCAGCGCGCGACAAGTGTAGTAATTTCCATCGTGTGTCCAGGCCTACAGTGTCACAGTCAAGGCTCTCGCGTCCACTCTCGGTAAGAAGAGAGGGATTGGGTAGTGCGAATGTGAGTCTCGAAAGACGATGGAATAAAAGGTTAACTACTACAGACGAATAACTACTCTTCTTATAGTGTTTTAACGAACCGTGCGAACTACAGTATAAATAACTACTACAATAACCCGTAGATGCATGTGTGGCAGTGCCTGTCACTACACCTGTCATAATTAAAGTCTTTGGTAACCTAATTGTGAACGTCCCATAGCAACATATCCTATTGTCTCGATCTGTCCATGTTTCAGACTAAATATATCCCTGCTGTCATGTCCCGTTCCGGCTTAGGTGTTGGAACGATAAGATTGCGATCGAATCGTGACATACAGAGCTCGATTCTATGGTTCAAAATGAACGGAAAGCGTCCACCAGCACAAGATCGAAGCGCTCCGACAATACGCTGGCCAATCACTATACTTGGAGCATTGCATTGGTTAACCATGACCGTAATTTGCTATGTTCCTCTCTCTCCGCCCGTCTTCTAAGTCTTTTCGTGAGCCATCTAGCTGCAATCACTTTACCACAGCGATCTGGCCGTTGATGACTGTAGCGTACATTCGGGACGCGATGTACGTAGGTACAGTACCTGCTTGTTCCTTATAGGGACCTCCGCAGTAATACACTCCTCCTCCTCCTCCTCCTCCTCCTCCTCAAGTTGTTTGTGCATGGTGAAAAAAACTGTTTTGGTCCTATCTCACTCAATTGTTATTCGATTTTGATGTTCTTGGGTTCATTCAATTCGCTGAATCCTCCGCTATCATATAGGCAATTAAAAACTGCTATTTAATGCCCCCTGGCCCAGTTGGTTAAGGCGCACGACTGTTATACATTTGGATGTAAATCGTGAGATCGAGAGTTCGAGCCTCTCGGGGGCAGTTGTTTTTGTTCTTTTACCTTCGGTCATACACATTTAGATTTAAAGCATGTTCCGTTTTCTTTTCCCAAATACCGGATGAACGCATAATCCTGCCGATCACCTGCTTCGCTGAACCAGCACTGGTTAAACTCGACAGCTTCGACTGAGTTCTGCTTCATCTTGGCTTCAACACATACTGCTGCAAAACATGGGGCCCGTGAGGTCTACACCCACCTGTAGAGAATGTATCTCGATGCTGCGTCGAAAAGGCATTCGGATTCGGTCATACTGAATTTTGGATCGTCGGGCGACACTGGGGACTTCAAAAATCAACCTGTATTTTCATTTTTTTTTGGTACGGATGTTGTGGGAGGCATTGAGAGCTCAGAGGTAACTCAGGATTTCAACTGGCGGAAGAAATACAGTATCCGTAGCATACGTTAGACACCATGTATGTAGTACAGGCCCCGGTGTTCCTTCGAGGGACCTTGCCGGTAATTCTTTCCTTCGTTCTGCTGAATTGTTAGATCAAATGAGTCTCAACCCCGACTGCGGCGCGATGATTCAGGCTGCTGGTCCGGGTCCGCGACCAATGGGAACTCAGTACTTTGGCACTCCCATTCCATGTTTGCTCTGGCTCAGCGGCTAGGGTACGCGGGACGAGGACGGTTCGATTTGCAGTAGGCCACCGGTTCGATTCCGCCCAGGGGTATGCATTTTCATTTACCTGATGTCATTCAGTCTGGCCCTAATATTACAGCTACATTCTGCCGTAGAAGTTAATCTTGACCGGGAACCCATTCTTGTTGCGGCCAACTTCGGTCTCCTCGCCGGAGGGGACAAAGACCGCCTTCCAGCAAAGCTCAGAGCTCGTTCGCTGTAAATATTATAATATTTCTGCTGATGAGTCTTGAATGGTTCAAGTTAGTTTCCCAAAGTCAGACGTCGACAGGATGAACAACTTTCGTGTGTCTGACTGTTCAAGTTCTCTTGGAGGAAAGTGAGGAACGTTGAAGATCCAAAGCACCGTGAAGGATTGGTTTTGTCTTCGTGATGGATGGACTGTTTCGTGAAGGAGGCCGTAAATCTTGAAGCCTTCACGTATTTGCGGCTCGTTCAGGTACCTCCAAGTCGTACATTCAACTTTCATACTTCCATGGTTGCTTGCTACAGAAACAAGGATTGCCGCGGCGCGCGAACAAAGTGCACCCAAGCCAAGAACAACATAACAGAATTAAAGCTATACAGCAGACTACCTAGATACACACTTAGAAAAGCTCGATGGTCGACATGAATTTGCTCACAATATCCAGATTCACACTCACCACACTCCAGCAGGTTGAGGACTCCCCGGGGGCGGGCTGGAAATTGGCTGCGGGGCAGTCCTCGCGGGCAGGGCCTCGTCCTCCTTTCTCCACTCGATCTTTTCTACGCGCACCTCGCCCTCGATGAGCTGGTAGACGTATGTGACAACGACGGGGCCCTGGATGTCCATAAGCGCAAAGGACGGGGTGGGGTCGCTTGGGTCGGAATTAGCAGGGGCACTCGAGAGAGCAAACGGGAGCAAGTGCCCACCCATTGAAGGCACCCGTCCACGCGCCGGTGGCCGAGCCCGGGTTGACAAAGAATTTATTGTCGTGTTCGCGGGCTTGGAAGCTGCGCAACACGTCAGCTTCGCCAGTAGAGATGTCCGCAGCGCGCTTTACGTATGGGTGTGCCCGGATATGAGGACGTCGACATCCATCTGCCGCGCAATCGCACTGAGCGAGTCCAGGTCGCCTACCGGAACGCTCTGGTGGCCGTGAATGACGCCAATCTTGATGGGAGGGTGAACGACCGTGATCGACGACGGAAACGTTGAGCTCTGGGAAGCTTGCATCGATACACAACTCGCGCATAGGCGTTCGGGTTGCGCACCTCATCATAGTCTCCTTTGACGACGTTCACGTCGGGCGAAATGGTGCGCAGATACTCGTACGTCTCTTTGTCGCATACGTTTCCGGTACATAGGATCTGCTGTATTTTGCCTGGGACTAGGAGCTTCTTGAACTTGGAAGGGAGATCATGGGTCCGGTGTGGAATATGCAAGTCCCCAATTATGAGAACGAGAACCATGGTGGTAGGCAAACAGTGACATCCAAATCGCAGCTTTATACCCATACATCATGAACGCCGCAAAATATTCAACCCTCCCCGACATCGTCAGTCACTCCCACAGTCCCACTGCATTGCTAAATGTTTCCAGGACACCGCCCAAGATGTCTACGAGACGGAGGATCCCTTGCCATCCCTCAACGTACGTTGGGATGCAGAATACAGTTGCTGCCGCTCATGCTTGGCGCTTCTCAGAAAGCTGACGCAGCTAGCGACGACGAAGCTGCTCCCTCGCGTTCCGGGACAAGAGGTGCACGAACAGTCGATGCTGGCGCGTCCAAAGATGAGCTCGACTCGACCAATCTCATGCAACACGACGAGGCAAGCAAAAAGTTTAGAAAAGCGGAGAAGCGACGAGGTCGGCCACCACGTCCATCTCCCCGCACACAGACTAATCTAGTCGCTGCAGATCGGCCTCGAACACACTATGCATACCCACCGTCTCCTACCGATCCTACCTCCCCCATCGAGCCGTCAACGTCGCGCCCTGTCCCACTCTCACAACGACTCCGCGCATTGCAGGCAGAGGTCATCTCTCTCGAGACCGAGCTTGCTGATCCCGCCAATCCACTGCTGTTCAAAGAACGGGAAGAGGACACTGTGGATCCTGGCGAACTGATACGTGGTCTAGTGGACGTACGCAGTAGACTGGACAAGATTCGCAAAGGAAAGGAAGGCCGGGGAAGACTAGTGGGTGTCATCCTGAGTCAGGAGACGGAGCCCGACATGAAGCGGCCGACTGTCGCTGCTGCCCCCGACGAGGGTGGAAAGCCAAATGTGCGCAGCATTGTGGAAATGGACCGACGGGTTGGAGAGCTCGAGAAGCTGGTTGGTTCATCTACCGCCGCGCTTGACGAGGTATGCCTCGGTGGGTTTAAATGCGATCCGATTACTGACGACGATCCCCAAGTCGTCACCCTTACCGCCGCCGTTGCTGCCCCTCGTTACACGGCTCAATGCGCAGTTAACTCTGTTAACCCAACCACGACACATCGACTCCATCTCCCGGCGACTGAAACTACTACTCTCTGATTTAGACCGCGCATCTGCTTCGCAACACCACTCCCATCGCCGACATCCTTCCCAGTCCAACTCCGGTCCTCCTTCTCAAATACAAGATCAAATGCTGCCATTACTTTCACGGCTTGGACCGTCACTTCCCCATATTCCCCACATTCTTACTCGTTTGCGAACATTGTCTGCACTACACAGCTCGGCAGGCCAGTTCGAAAGTACGTTGGAAGGGCTTGAGGAGGATCAGCGCAAAATGCGGGAGGCGCTCGGTGAACTGGAGAGCGCGGTCAAGACGATCGAGAAGAGTTTGGAAGACAACCGAGGCGTAGTCAAAGGCAACGTTGGCGGACTTGAGGGGAGGATAGACACTCTGCTCAAACGAGTAGACGAACTCAGCAAGTAGAGAGTACATAATGCGCATTTTCAGCTAGGAAAATTTCTTTACAATACACAGCTGGCCCTCTACTCAGTCGCGCCATGCTCTTGTAGATATTCGCGGGCGTGTTGCTTGGCTTCCTCGGAGACACGAGGATCTACGGAACATGAATATCGACAGAGGAATGAAGGAAAGGGACACGTACTGCTCAACGCAGCTTTGTATCCGGCGAGAACACGCACTTTATGCTCATCCGTGTCGACGTTTTCATCTGCTACAGTGTATCCCGCTGCTTCCAAAATTTCACGGGCACGAGCCTTGGCTTCGTCCGACGTTGCTTCGTCTGAAATAAACATCTCGTCAGACACAATGAGGAAGCGGCAGGAACGACAAACTAGTCAAGGTGGCCTTGTGTCCCCCTAAGGGAAAAAAAAGAAGTTAACACCGACATTGTGCATGCAAAGAAAAGCAAAAGGCTCGTACCAAGGGCGTGACTGCTCAGTGGCTGGTCTGAAGGAATGGCACCCATTTCTTTGAGGCGCTCTTCAGCTTTCTGCTTCGCTTCGTCGGAGACGTTGGGTCTGTGGAGGGTGGCTTTGAGGCCTGCTGCGACGCGGACTGGATCTTTGTTTTCGGAGGACATTGGTGATTGTGCTGATGGACGGTGGTGTCGAACGGAGGGGGGTTATATAAGAAAATTTGGAATGACTTCATTCGGTGGAGCGCTGACGATATGAATCATTTTGCTCTTCCCGTCGCCTGCAGGCTCAGGGTTGAGATGATTCGAGAGACATCAGTGTTGATATAAATCATATCACATGACCGCGACGCATCTTGCCACTGAATTGCCATGTCGGTCGATCGTTTGTCTTCAATGATTACCTCGCTTTCAGACGTACACTCGCGTCTCCAACAACTCAGAAATGCTCCGCCATCGCTTCTGAAGTCTTCCATGTCCTTTTCAACCCCAACCATCCGTCAAGACTTTCAGCAGTTGAAGGAACTCGCGGACACCATACGCTCAGATTCTGTCCAAGAAGCTCTGCGCACTGCAACAAATAGCGAAAAGGCAGACAAATCTGATCTGGGCAGGAACGGCAGACGAGAAATACGCAAACGAAGGCAGGCTACTTCTGATATTGGTCTGTAGACATTGATGGCCTTTGCTAGACGTCCTCCTTCCCCAGAATCTCCTCAGCCTTATATACCGTATGACAAGCGAAGCAGCTCGCTGTTTCCAGTGGCGAATGACGATCCCCCAGCGCTCCGGGCCGATCAGCTTGCTGATTACATTCGAGAATTTAATCGAACGCATTCCTCTAAACTTCATATTTGGACTCGAGTCCGGGGGTCGACACAACTGAGCAATCCCGCGGTCGTTCGTTTCACAATCCGGGATGTTTTGGTGTGCTACGTCACTATGGCCTACGCACCAGGCGACCCTGTCCTCGTCGCCGAAAGTGTAACGGCCTTTGG